CAAGCAGAGTTAGACAGTGAGAGAGAGAGAGACCCAGAGAGAAAGGTCTTCCTTCCATTGGTTCACCCCCCAAATGGCCACTAGGGCCGGTGCACTGTGCCAATCCGAAGCCAGGTGCCTCCTCCTGGTCTCCCATGTGGGTGCAGGGCCCAAGCACTTGGGCCATCCTCCACTGCCTTCCCGGGCCACAGCTGAGAGCTGGACAGGAAGAGGAGCAACCAGAACAGAATCCAACATCCCAACTGGGACTAGAACCCAGGGTGCCGGCGCCGCGGCAGAGAATTAGCCAAGCCACACTCAATTCTAACAGCTCCTTTTAAGTGGTAGGGCGTGGTGCCCTAATTGAATATACAAACAGGGTGGAGCCTGGGCAGGGTTTAGTGTACTTGAGGCCTTCTGGGAGGATTATGGCGCCTCCAGTGGAGTTTAACATCCATACAGCCATAACGGCATCTCCTCCTTCCTCATTCTGGGTGAGACACAGGTACATCTTGGGAAAGTGTGTGTACTGGATTGACAAGTAAGGGAGTGGAGTTACAGTGTAGGGCTACACAGAAATTGTGAGAGAATCTTCCTTCGCATTTATTCCTACCTAATTTTCCTGCCTATTTCTCTCACATCATTAGCACCAGGTTAATATAAGTGAAAAGAGAAATTATTCTAATTAATTTTTACTTTTAATAACTTCAATTGCATGTAATCACAGGATTTTAGGATTAAAAGTCACTTTAGGGGCTGGTGCTGTGGTATAGCGGGTAAAGCAGCCCCCTGCAGTGCAGGCATCCCATATGATGCCAGTTCAAGTCCCAGCTGTTCCACTTCCAATACAGCTCTCTGCTATGGCCTGGGAAAGCAATAGAAGATGGCCCAAGTCCTTGGGCCCTTGCACCCATGTGGGAGACCCGGAAGAAGCTCCTGGCTCCTGGCTTTGGACTGGCACAGCTCCAGCCGGTGCAGCCAATTGGGGAGTGAACCAGCAGATGAAAGACTTCTGTCTCTCTGCCTCCTCTTTGTGTAACTCTTTCAAAAAATAAATAAACATATTTTTTTAAAAATTCACTTTAGAGGCTCAACTAATCCAACCTTGTAATAAATCACATAAAAATATTATATAGGGGCCGGCACCGCAGCTCAATAGGCTAATCCTCCACCTAGCGGTGCACTGGGTTCTAGTCCCAGTCGGGGCGCCGGATTCTTTCCCGGTTGCCCCTCTTCCAGGCCAGCTCTCTGCTGTGGCCAGGGAAGGCACTGGAGGATGGCCCAAGTGTTAGGGCCCTGCACCCGATGGGAGACCAGGAGAGGCGCTTGGCTCCTGCCTTCGGATCAGCGCGGAGCGCCGGCTGCAGCGCGCCAGCCGTGGCAGCCACTGGAGGGTGAACCAATGCACAAAGGAAGACCTTTCTCTCTGTCTGTCTCTCTCTCACTATCCACTCAGCCTGTCAAAAAAAAAAAAAAAAAAAAAAAAAAAAGAAAAGAAAAAGAAAATATTACATAGGACAGAATAAAAGATAAAATCTACTAGTATACTAGGGACCATAATTTCCAGGCTACCTAATCTGCTTGGCATTCTCTGGATGCCATTTTTTGGTTATAAATCTCGTAAATAATATGCCTAAAGTAATTTCTCCAACCTATAGTTAGGACGTCAAAACATTTGTCCAATGTCCTGCACAAATCAAGAGACATTATACTTTCACCCAACTTCCTACACTTACCACCCTTTGAGGTTAAAAGAAGTCCTCCTTCAAAAGATATATTTTAGCCAGAAATTTTAATCAGGTTCAAATGTCAACATTTTTCATATTACAGTGGTTGTAAAAAAAACTCTAAATATTTATTACTATTTTCTAATTTCTCTTTGGAAAAAAGCAGTGAAATTAATGTCTAAGAAACCCTGGTTATTATTTTTATGAAAAATATTTCCATGGAAAAATTCTAAAGTGTTCAAAAAATAAAACAGCTATACATCGAGTAAGACAGTACAAAGGGGTCAAACAGACATTTTTTGCTATGGCCATACACTAGGTGAAACGAAGTCCAAAGATCATGAAAAACTAATACATCACTTTTTTATGATGATGATTCTCATAAAAACAGACAGGGATACCTGAATCAGCTAAGGAGTTGTCCTCCAGCTTCTGGCTCCTATACCTTCTCCTCCAGGACAGTTACCCAGCCCATTATATTTAGAAGAAATAAACAATCCACAGGCACTAAGAGATCTATAGACCTTCTGATCAATCTTAGAGGGTTGAGAAAGTTTATTATACTAGATTGAGGTTCTTTTTTACATAGAATTAATTTAACAACTGTTGAATATTTACTAACATCTACTACTTATTAAACGGCTCAGGTTTTACTCCCTTCCTTCCTCCACTTTGTTTAATAGTTTAAAGCCAGATGGCACTCAAACTTAGCAATTTGGGGACAGCATCATAGCACAGCAGGTTAAGCTCCCACCTATGATGCAAGCATCCCATATGAGCACCAGTTCAAGTACCAGCTGTTCCGCTTCCAATCCAGCTCCCTGCTAATGTACCTGGCAAGGCAGAGGAAGATGGCCCTAGTGCTTGGGTCCCTACCATGGGGGAAGCCCACAGGTGGAGAACCAGATGGAGTTCCAGGCTCCTGGTTACAGGCTGGCTCAACCCCAGCCACTGCAGCTAGTTGGGGAGTGAACCAGTGGATGGAGGATCTCTCCGTCTCTCCCTCTCTTGGTTAACTCTGCCTTTCAAATAAATAAATAGATCTTAAAAAAAAAAAAAAAAAAAAAAAAAGACTTACCAATTTAAGCCAGAGACTGAGAAATCTGGGATCACTATAATACCGTTTTTCTCCTTGTAGTGCTTCTATAGCTCTCTCTAATAATGTGGACATGTTACTCTCCTTCCCGCCTTGAGGATAGTTTTGCTCTGTCCAGCTAATATACCTAGATGAGGAGAAAAGGTAAGAACATATTTTAAGCTTTTGTTCTTGCTCCAAGAATCTTTCCAGATTTTTTTTTTTTTTTTTTGATAGGCAGAGTTAAGACAGTAAGAGAGAGACAGGGAGAAAGGTCTTCCTTTTTTCTGTTGATTCACCCCCCAAGTGGCCAGCGCATTGTGGCGGGCTGCTACACCAATCCGAAGCCAGGAGCCAGGTGCTTCATCCAGGTCTCCCATGCAGGTGCAGGGCCCAAAGCACTTGGGCCATCCTCCACTGTACTCCCGGGCCACAGCAGAGAGCTGGACTGGAAGAGGAGCAACCGGACAGAACTGGTGCCCCAACCAGGACTAGAACGCGGGGTGCTGGCGCCGCAGGTGGAGGATTAGCCTAGTGAGCCATGGCGCCAGCCTTCCAGACTTCTTTAAATAGGAATATCTAGGGGCCAGCGCTGAGGCGCAGCAGGTTAAAGCCCTGGCCTGCAGTGCCGACATCCCATATGGGCACCGGTTATAGTCACGGCTGCTCCTCTTCCGATCCAGCTCTCTGCTATGGCCTGGGAAAGCAGTGGAAGATGGCCCAAGTCCTTGGGCCCCTGCACCCATGTGGGAGATCTGGAAGAAGCTCCTGGCTCCTGGCTTCAGATGGGTGCAGCTCTGGCTGTTGCAGCCATCTGGGAAGTGAACCAGTGGAGGATGACCTCTCTCTCTGTCTCTACCTCTCTCTGTCACTCTTTCAAATAAATAAAATAAATCTAAAAAAAAAAAAGAAAAAAGAAATATCTAGGGTGCCAGCACTGTGGCAAGTGACCTAAGCCTCCACCGGCAGCACCAGGATCCCTTATGGGCACCTGTTCTAGCCCTGACTGTTCTTCTTCTGATCCAGCTCTGTGCTATGGCCTGGGAAAGCAGAACTTGGCCCAAGTCCTTGGGCCCCTCCACCCGCTTGGGACACCCTGAAGAAGCTCCTGTCTCCTGACTTCAAATAAGCCTAGCTTGGGCATTGCAGCCACCTGGGGAGTTAACCAGCAGAAGACCTCTCCCTGTCTGTACCTCTCTGTGTAGCTCTACTGCTCAGATAAATAAATAACATATTTTAAAAACAAAGAAATATTTAATACACTGAAAAAATGTTTCTTTAGAGGTGCTCAATGACATGTCCTAAGCCTGTATCCCTCAAACTTTTCCAGAGTTATTTCTAACACAGGCTTAGGGAAACACGAGACGTAGGCATAAAAGGGCATAGCCCAAATTTGCATGCCATAAACTCTGAATTTCTTTGACATTAAACATTTCAGGGATACATACTGTGACTACTCTGGATTTCTGTACCCACGCAATGCCACTTTCTATCTGGCACACCATTCTATATGCCCCAACTGGAGAAACACGGCCATCTAGACTCATTCATCCATGCTTCTTTTGCTCAATTAAATAAACAGACCCACCTATCCCAAACATCCAGAGGGTCATTTCCAGTGTAAAATCGAATTTCAGATTCAAATGCCCTGAAATTTAAGCAGAAAATGTTAGCATATGCATAATGATAACAGCCAAGAACAAGTACCACTTTCACTTTTATTCTTTTATTTATTATTTCAACCTAGATACTAGTTTGAGGAGTTGTTAGGAAGAAAAATGATAGAAATAATTAAGGTTCTTCCTGATAACAGGAGAGATAAAATACCTACATATTAAAGCAGCAAATGTCAAGGCAACACACAGAAAAGCAGTTTTACACAGCAATGAAAAGCTCTGGAACATGATTCCCTCCACCAATCACTAGCTGAAAGACACTGCTCAGGCTATTTAAACTCTGTTTTCAGTTTCCTCACCTGTAAAATGGAGATAATAAAATTATTTATTAAGTTGATTAGTCTTAAATGTAAAGTGAATAAACACAATAAACAATAAATGATAGCTTTTGTATATATGACAGTATTAACAAACTATTTACACATGCATAGAAATAATAAAAATCTAAAGAAAAATTCCACAAGTAATATTAGAGAAGAAAACTATATAATTCCATAAGTTCCTCAAATAAAGTATAAAATATGACTACAAAAAGCTGAGAAAGGTAGGGGCCAAATATTGATTGACCAAGTAAAATAAATGGGGAATATTACATAATAAATCATACTTTTGATAAATATTTAATATTAATATTTAATAAATTAATTAATATTTAATATTGATATATTAATATTATTAATGTGGTATTAATATTATAATATAATATTAATATATAATAATATTTAATAAAAATTATACAAAGGATTAGATTTTCTAGAAAAAATAAAATTCCCTGACACAAGGAATTTATATTCTAATAAAAAAGACAAAGTTAATTAACTAACAATGCAAAGGAGTACAGTATTGTATTACAACTGCCAAACTTGTTAGAAATGCAAGGAGGTAACATGACACAGCCTCACAAGGTGTGACTCTGAAGCAATCTTAAGATTTGAAAGAAAAAGGGAGCTGTCCACGAGAGGGAAACTAATATATGAACTAAAGCTGTGAAGTGGGACAGTTTATCCAGAGGAAACTGAGGGGACCCTAAGCTTAACATAAACTTGGCATTGAGAATAAATGGAGACAACTAGAGAGGTAAGAAGGTCATGTCCACTACTGGTTCTTTAATTGGTGGGGTCAAGAAACATTATAAGAATAAGAAGTAGGGGGCGCTGGCGCTGTGGAGCAGCGGGTTAACGCCCTAGCCTGAAGCGCTGGCATCCCATATGTGTGCCAGTTCAAAACTCGGCTGCTCCACTTCTGATCCAGCTCTCTGCTATGGCCTGGGAAAGCAGTGGAAGATTGCCCCAGTCCTTGGGCCCCTGCACCTGCGTGGGAGACCTGGAGGAGGCTCCTGGCTCCTGGCTTTGGATCGGCACAGCTCTGGCCGTTGCAGCCAGTAGGGGAGTGAACCATAAGATGAAAGACCTCTCCTCTCTGTGTAACTCTGACTTTCAAATAAATAAATAAATCTTAAAAAAAAAAAAAAAAAAAAAGACAGGAAGTAGGACTGGTATATAGGGGCACACCAGGTTAAGCCTGGTGCTGGCATCCCATATGGGCACGGATCAAGAACTGGCTGCTCCAATTCCGATCAAGCTCTCTGCTATGGCCTGGGAAAGCCATGGAAGGTGGCCCAACTCCTTGGGACCCAGCACCCACATGGGAGACCCAGAAGAAGCTCCAGGCTCCTGGCTTTGAATCGGCTCAGCTCCAGCCGTTGCGGCCTTTTGGGGAGTGAACCAGCAAATGGAAGACCTCTCTTTGCCTCTGCCTCTCTGTAACTGCCTTTCAAATAAATAAATATATCTTTTTTAAAAAATAGAAAGCATTAGAAGAAAGTACCTTAATCATGGCAATATACTATGAGATAATGAGATTATCTACAGAAACAGTAAAAAAATAAAATCCAAGATATTACTGATAAAAATCAGCAATCTTCCAAATTGATCTATAGATTCAGTGCAATCTAATCAAAACCCCAGCAGGCTCTTTTCTAGAAACTGACAAGTTACTTGTTTGGAAAGGCAAAGTATCAAGAATAAACTTTTTTTTTTTTTTTTTAACAGGCAGAGTGGACAGTGAGAGAGAGACAGACAGACAGAAAGGTCTTCCTTTGCCATTGGTTCACCCTCCAATGGCCGCCACGGCCTGCGCGTTGTGGCTGGCGCACCGCGCTGATCCGAAGGCAGGAGCCAGGTGCTTATCCTGGTCTCCCATGGGGTGCAGGGCCCAAGCACTTGGGCCATCCTCCACTGCACTCCCGGGCCATAGCAGAGAGCTGGCCTGGAAAGAGGGGAAGAATAAACTTTTAAAACGAACAACGGAAGTTGGAGAACTTACCCTGCTTGACTTACTACATAAGGCTAATCAAGACAATGTGTTATTGGTGAAAGGATAAGCAATTAGATCAATAGAACAGAGAACAAGAGAGTCCAGAAATGACCCACACATATGTATTCAAATGATTCTAGATGAGGGCTCCAAAGTAATTTAATGATGAAATAAAAACAAATTCCAACAAAAGGAGGCAGAACAACTAAATGGAAACCCACAGGGGAAAAAAAGAACTTTTATATCAACCTCACAGCATACCCAAGTATAAATGTAAGATGAACCATACAGCTAGACATAAAAGTCCCAGGACAAAGGTACTAAAAGAAAACGCAGGAGAGTATCTTCTGCCATAAAAGCAAATCACTGGGGCCGGCACCAAGGCGTAGTGGGTAAAGCCGCTGCCTGCAGTGCCAGCATCCCATGTGGGCGCCAGTTCAAGACCTGCCTGCTCCACCTCTGATCCAGCTCTCTGCTATGGCCTGGGAAAGCAGTAGAAGATGCCCCAAGTCCTTGGACCCCTGCATCCGCGTGGAAGACCCAGAAGAAGCTCCTGGCTTCGGATCAGCACAGCTCTGGCCGTTGTGGCCATCTGGGGAGTGAACTAGTGATGGAAGACCTCTCTCTCTGCCTCTCCTTCCCTCAGTGTAACTCTGCCTTTCAAATTAAAAAAAAAAAAAAAAAAAAAAAAAAGGCGAATCACTAACTAAACTTCATCAGAATCTAAAACTTGGTGATTAAAAGTCAGTCATGGACTGGGAAACATTATTTGTAACACATGTATCTGATAAAGGGCTTGTACATAGGAGGCATAAAAAACTTTTGCAAGCCCATTTGAAACACATACGCCACAAAAGGTCAATAAGCATGTGAAAGAGGGAAATGTGAAATAAAAACATAAGGAGAGGGGCCAGCACTGTGGTGTAGTGGGTAAAGCTGCCTCCTGCAGTGGCAGCATCCCATATGGGCGCCAGTTCGAGTCCTGGCTGCTCCACTTCTGATCCAGCTCTCTGCTGTGGCCTGGGAAAGCAGCAGAAGATGGCCCAAGTCCTTGGGCCCCTGCACCAACATGGGAGACCCGGAGGAAGCTCCTGGCTCCTGGCTTCAGATCGGTGTAGCTCCGGCGGTTGCGGCCAACTAGGGAGTGAACCATTGGATGGAAGACTTCTCTCTCTCTGACTCTCCTTTCTCTCTGTGTAACTCTGACTTTCAAATAAATAAATAAATATTTAAAAAAAATTAAACTTGGGGCCGGTGCAGTGGCACACTAGGTTAATCCTCCACCTGCAGCACCGGCATCTCATATGGGCGCTGGGTTCTAGCCCTGGATGCTCCTCTTCCAATCCAGCTCTGCTGTGGCCTGGGAAAGCAGTGGAGGATGGCCCAAGTGCTTCCTGTGCCCACATAGGAGACCAGGAAAGAAGCTCCTGGCTCCTGGCTTCGGATCGGCGTAGCTCTGGCCGTGGCGGCCATTTGGGGATTGAACCAACGGAAATTTAAAAACAATAAAACATTCTTTATAGAAAACACTAGTCCTCAGGAAAGATGTTGTGGTGCAGCTGGTTAGGGAGGCTCTCAGCCCACATCAGAGTGCCTGGAATCTAGTCCTGCTCCCATCTCTGCCCAGTTTCCTACTAATGCACCTGGGAGGCAGCAGGTGACAGCGTAAGTACATGGGTGGGCTGTCAACCCACAGGGGAGACTCAGATCGAGTTCTGGCTCCTGGATTTGGTCTGGTCCTGCCCTGGCTGTTGCAGGCGTCTGGGGAGTAAACCAACAGATGGAAAATCAATCTCTCTCTCTCTGGCACTTACCTTTCAAAAAAGTAAGTAATTTTTAAAAAACCCCATTATTCTTTAGCGACCAACTAATACAATTAGGATGAGACAGCAATGAGTAAGATCATTCAGGTGGGTTTTAGTACAATTAAATTTTTAAAAAGATCATTTATGAAAGTCATTATGTTATACTTTAAGTGAAACATTCATCTGATTATTGAGCATTCTTGGTTTATCATAGGGTTATATACGATGAATTGCAGTTTAAAATATCCTAAATCAAAAATGCATTTAATACCCCTAACCTACAGAACATCCTCACTGAGCAACCCAGCGCTGTAGAGGGTTGTTTACCCTCAAGATCTAGTGGCTGGTCTGCAGCTCATTGCTGCTGCCACTATCTAGCATCATGAGAGCCTATACAGCTTATTGCTAGCCTGGAAAAAGGCCAAAGTTCAAATTTCAAAGTTCAGTTTCTACTGAACAAGTATTGCTTGACCATCATAAGGTCAAAAATCACTAAGTCAAACCATCCTATGCTGAGGGTCGATAAAATATGTTATAGGTATATAAAAAGATGTTTAGAAGGCAAATAAGAGATACCAGTGGTAGTTAACAATCCTGGAATATTTGAAATGAAACAAGAGCTGAGAGCAAAGAACACAGATCTAAGTGAAACTGATTAGGAAGCCAATAAGAAAACAGGGAAAGTAGCTAGAGAAGTGGAAAAACAAGTATAATGTCACGGAAGTCAGGAAAAAGAGTAAAAGATTTAATATTCCTGTCTCTGAGACAAAACTATAAAACACAGTGCTCTTACAGATTCAATGAGTTGGATAAGGATAGTCATTATATTATAATCCAAAAGTATAATTTGCTTATGATAGAAGAACTTTTTGGTCAGAAATTGAAGGTAGAAACTGATACTTAGTTTTATGTTTTTAAATAGATTCAATATAGTTCATAGATACAATTCTAGGAATAAAATATTCTCTTCTTTCTTTCCTCCTTCCCTCTGAAAAAGATTTCTTAAAATATGTTAAAGAGCAAGATCCATAGATCTGTTTGAATAATGTAAGAGTGTTTTTCAGCCTTTACTATTCAGAGTTTGTTAAATCATGTTTAAGGGGCCAGAGTTGTGGTATAGCAGTCTAAAGTTAAGCCACAGCTTATGATGCTGGCAGAGTGCTGGCTCAAGTCTAGGTTGCTCTGCTTTGGATCCAGCTCCTTACTATGCCTGGGAAAGCAGCAGAAAATGGCCCAAGTGCTTGGGCCCCTGCCACCCACAAGGAAGACCTGGATAGGTTCCTTGCTCCTGGCTTCAGCCAAGGCCGTTGTGGTATTTAGGGAGTGAACTAACAAATGGAACATCTCTCTCTTTCTCTGTCTCTCCCTCTGTCATTTTGCCTTTCAAATAAAATACATCTTAAAAAATAATTAAGAAACTTTCTAGTATAAATCCAGATTCTTAGTTTTGTATGATCCTTGGAGACCACTTTTTTTTTTCACATTCTCAAAAATATTTTCCCAAGCAGCATCACTCTCCCTCAGTACTCACAGTCTAAGGAGGCACTCTCTAATTGATATTTATCAAAAAGATATTTGTTCAAGGGCGCAGATTGACTAATATTTTTGAGAAATATTAAAATACGATACTTGTGGGGCTGGTGCTATGGCATAGTGGGTTAGACGCCACCTGCAGAGCCAGCATCCCATATGGATGGCCGGTTCAAGTCCTGGCTACTCCACTTCTGATAGCTCCCTGCTGATGTTCCTGGGAAAGCAGCAGAAGATGGCCCAAGTCCTGGGCCCCTGCCACCCATGTGGGAAACTCAGAAGAGGCTCCTGGCTCATGACTTTGGCCTGACCCAGCCTTGGGCATTGCAGCCATTTGGGGAGTGAACCAGAGGATGGAAGATCTCTCTCTCTATATATATCTCCATCTCTCTCTGTAACTCTGACTTTGAAATAAATAAATCTTTAAAAAAAATGATACCTGCTTTACTATATTCAATGTCTCCACTATAATTTTCTTTCAATTTTTATTGATAAAAGAATTGGGCTGCTCTATGACATGAAATCCTATAGCCCTTTTTGTTAATTATGCTTGAGACCTTCCGAGAGCTGCTGCATGAGGCACGAGAACAGGTTCCCGTACTCCTGATGCCACCCCACACAGATCCGGCCCCATGCCCTCTACCATAGTTGGGGATGAAGGACAACAGGCAGAACTCCAACCTATCCCACACACCGTTTCTGCTGCTGAAGAGTCGTGTTGCAGGCAGAGTCCTGCTGTGCCAGTGCTCCCTGAAGTGTGGACATGATCCGCCCCTGCCTTAAGGGTTGCACGTTTTCCTTGCTCAGCTCCCATTCATCTCCCTCCAGGCACATGGCGTCACTGTGAAGAACACAACAGTAAATCTCATACCAACACTTACCTACTACAGCGCTAGTGTAATTGTAAATGTTTTCCGATAGGTGATTATGTCTGATCTTTGGGTTGAATGCTGTAGGTTAGAATATTAGTAATGTTATTATACTCCTGACCTTTTGAGCCTTTCTGTCATGTGCTTCATAAGTTTATGGTTATAGTATTGCCTAATAGAAGAGAGAATTTGCTGAGAGTACTATGAATATAAAATTAAGTTTTTTTTAAAAAAATTTTTTAAAGTTAGCATTACTTTTTTTAAGATTTATTTTATTTATTTGAAAAGGAGAGTTAGGGCTGGCGCCGTGGCTCACTTGGCTAATCCTCCACTGCGGCGCCGGCACCCCGCATTCTAGTCCTGGTTGGGCACCAGTTCTGTCCCAGTTGCTCCTCTTCCAGTCCAGCTCTCTGCTGTGGCCCAGGAGGGCAGTGGAGGATGGCCCAGGTCCTTGAGCCCTACACCCACATGGGAGACCAGGAGGAAGCACCTGGCTCCTGGCTTCGGATCAGCGCAGCGCGCCAGCTGCAACGCGCTGAACATAGTGGCCATTTGGGGGGTGAACCAACAGAAAAAGGAAGACCTCTCTCTCTGTCTCTCTCTCTCTCACTGTCTAACTCTGCCTGTCAAAAAAAAAAAAAAAAGAAAGAAAGAAAGAAAGAAAGAAAGAAAGAAAGAAAGAAAGAAAAGTAGAGTTAGAGATGGGTGGGGGGAGACAGAGAGAGAGAGAGAGCTCTTTCATCCATTGGTTTACTCCCCGAAATGGCCGCAGTGGCTGGGCCTGCCTGGACCATGCCGAAGCCAGGAGCTTTGTCTGGGTCTCCCACATGGGTATAGGGGCCCAAATACCTGGACCATCCTCTGCTGCTTTCCCAGGAGCTTTAGCAGGGAGCTGGACTGGAAGTGGAGCAGCTGGGACTTGAACCAGAGCCCATATGGAAAGCCAGCATCGCAGGCAGTGGCTTTACCTGCTATGCTACAACACTAGCCCCTAAAATTAAGTTTAAAGTAGGAAGAAGGGGCCAGGGCCTCTCACCTAGAGTGCCAACATCACATACGGGTGCCAGTTCAAATCCCAGCTGCTCCACTTCCGACGTACCCACTTTCGAGACCTGGAAGAAGCTCCCAGCTCCTGGCTGTGGTCTGCCCCAGCCCCAGCTGTTGTGGCCATTTGAGGAGTGAACCAGTGGATGGAAGATCTGTTCTCTCTGTGTCTCCCTCTCTCTATCTCTGCCTTTCAAATGAATAAATAAATCTTTAAAAATAAATAAAGCAGGAAGAAAAAAAGCCAAAAAGATGTTATAAATAGGGCAAAATAAACAAAAGGGCAGCAGCTCTCTGCCAGCCACTGAATGTATCATCTGGTTTAATTTAAAATTAATAAAGTGGGGCCTATGTTGTGACATAGCAGGTTGGGCTGCCACATGCAATGCTGGCATCCTGTACCAGAGCACATGTTTGAAGCCCAGGGGCTCTGTTCTGGCCCAGTTCCTTGCAGATGCACTGAGAAAGCAGTGGAGAATGACCAGGGTACTTGGGCCCCTAACACACATATGGGAGACCCCGATAAAGTTCTGCATTTCAGGCTTTAGCCTGGTCCAGCTCTAGCTGTTGCTGCTATTTGGGAAGTGAACCAGTAACAAAAGGTCTTTTTCTCTCTGTCTCCGTCTCTGTGTGTCATTCTGCCTTTCAAAAAAAAAAAAAAAAAAAAAAAAAAAAAACTTAAAAAATATATAATTAGGGGCTGCCACTGTGGCTGTGGCATAGCAGATAAAGCCACGACTTGCAGTGCTGGCATCATCTATGGGGGCTGCTTTGAGTCCTAGCTGCTCCACTTCCGATCCAGTTCCCAGCTATAGCCTGGGAAAGCAACAGAAGATGGCCCAAGTCCTTGGGCCCCTGCACCAGCATGGGAGACCTGGAAGAAGCCCCTGGATCCTGGCTTCAGATGGGCTCAGCTCAAGCCATTGCGGTCATCTGGGGAGTGAACCAGCAGACGAAAAACACCTCTCTCTACTACTCTGGTGCTCTGCAATGGTCAGAAGTCACTTCTGATGAAGAGATTTTATCTCTGAGTTTAAAAGAGATTTTATCTCTGAGTTTAAAAGAAAAGAAAAGAAAAGAAAAGAAAAGAAAAGAAAAGAAAAGAAAAGAAAAGAAAAGAAAAGAAAAGAAAAGAAAAGAAAAGAAAAGACAAGACAAGACAAGACAAGACAAGAAAAGAAAAGTGAGACAGGCATTATTTTTCAAAACAGAGTGAAAGTTATGTAGGACTTCAGTGTAAATGAAAAGTGGAAAACTCTCCATAAGAAAATAACTAAGAACAGGTGTTGTGGTGCAGTGGGTCAAGCTGCCACCTGGGACACCTACATTGCATACAGGAGTGCCTGGTTCAAGTCTCAACTACTACGAACTTCCAATCCAGCTTCCTGCTAATACATCTAAGAGGCAATGGATGAGTTTCGGCTACCTACGTGGGACCCCCAGATAGAGTTCCTGGCTCCTAGCTTCAGCCTGGCCCAGTCCCGGCTGTTGCTGGCATTTGGGGAGTGAACCAGTGGACCCCTCTCTCTCTGTGTCTCTCCCTCTGTCTCTGTCTTTCAAATAAAAAAATAAATAATAAAAAAAGAATGTACTTTTCCTATTAATTAGCATTGTAACCATCCCTAGCTTTTAAACTATACTATGTGAGTCCTGTAATATAAGAACTGTGTCAGTTCTTTTTGTATCACGTGGTCTAATACAGGATATGACAACTACTCTAAGAACTAAGCAGATGTTTGTTGAATTCCCCCGAATTTTTTCTCTTGCTCTTAAAATGGTGAGCTGGACTTGCCCCTTCTCCTCCTGCCTCTTGGCAGAACTGCTCCTCCCGGTGTTCCCCATCTCAGTAAATGCAATTCTATTCTTCCAGTGGCTCAAGCCACTGCCTCGATGCCCCCTCACACTCCCAGGCAATCAGCAAATCTGTTGTTTCACTTTCAAAATATCTCCATAAATCACCCACTTCTCAACACCTCCACTATTTTCTCTTGCCTGGATTATTTCAACAACCTATTAACTAGTCTACCTGTCTGTCCCTTGTCTACCTTTAGTCTACCCAACACAGCAGCCAAGGTGATTTCACTGAAACCCAAGTCGGATCATGTCTTCCCTGGGCTCAAAACCTTCCAATGATTTTCTATCGCAATCAGAACCAAGTCTGCATCTTCACTTGTCAAAATTTCCTTTCACAAGGCAGTGGAAGATGGCCCAAATCCTTGTGCCCCTGCACCTGCGTGGGAGACCCGGAAGAAGCTCCTGGCTCCTGGCTTTGGATCGGCGCAGCTCCGGCCATTGTGGCCAATTGGGGAGTGAACCAACGGATTGAAGACCTACCTACCTCTCTCTCTCTCTCTCTCTCTCTCTCTCTGCGTAACTCTGCCTTTCAAATAAATAAATAAATCTTAAAAAAAAAAAATTTCCTTTCACTCTCCTGGCTCATTCTGCTCCAGTGACACTGGCAGTGGGCGTGCCGGCTGCAGCCACCTCCCCCAGCCCTGTCACCCCGAGATTTTGTACTTCCCCCTGATGCATGCATGACTAGCCTCCGAGCTTCCTTCAAATCACACACTCGTCAGTCCTCAGTCCAAAAGCTACCCTGTCCAGACCTAGCCTGTCCCAGCCCCACCAGATGTCCCCATCCCTCCACACCACCTTTCAGTTGCCCTTGCCCATCTGTCTCCACCACCCTCTTCCCTCTCCAGAACTTAAGCTCCATGACGCCGGGATTTCTGAGTCTTTAGTAGGTGGTCATGCATCTGCAGCATGCGTGAAGAGCTCATGATGTGACCATCTATCTAGTCCTGTGGGCTCCACACTGAACACGCAGGCACAATTCCAACCTAGAATTGCTGTATTTCTTTAAATAAGGAAAAGCAACAAACAACGAGAAAAGCTTTTTAGCCCAACGCAACTGGCCGAGCACCTTTTTGGAAGCAGAACGTCACAAATACGTTGAACTCCCCCAGAACCCCCGTAAGGGAGCACTAATACCAGCATCTTCCACATAGAAGGCGCGTCCAAGGCCAAACACCTGGCGCAAGCGCGAGCAAACACTGACCGCGCCACCAAGTCAGGCTCTTCGCCCCACTGGGGTTCCCAGCCTCCTTGGCTTTGCAACTGGACGCAGCAGGACGCACGTGTCGCGGGATTGCGGCCTCCCCTGCACCACTAGCGCCCAGCTCCCACAGGAAGGAGGCTCCGGCCGGGCCCGCTCTTCTGCTGACCGCGCATCGACTACTCTGAGCAGGCCCTCTGACACCTGCCAGGCACCCCCGGACCTCGCAGACCCAGCTCCCCCCAGCTCCTCTCCCGCACCTACCTCAGAGCACCCCCTTCCTTCCTCGTCGCCGCCATCCTGCATTCCCGGCCCAAGCCCTCGTCCTGATGCGGGAACGTCCTGTCTTCTTTCTGCAATCTGCCCTTAGAGCTACCGACGCAACCAGAGGGTGCCTCAGGACAAAAACACGCACCCAGTTCCCTCCCAAACAGCCACCTCAAGCCCTCACCCCCACCCGCCAACTTTCAAATTTAACGGTCCCGCGCGGCCGACGTGGCCACGCCTCTTGGCTGTTGCGTACTCACGCCTCTCGCCCAAGGCATTCTGGGGCTTGTAGTTTATGCCGAGCTTACTCCACGCTGTCAAGGTGCATAATGGGAGTTGTAGTTTTTGGGAGCCAATGGCTGCTCGGGTGTCCCAAAGCAGCAGGCTCAGCAGACGTTATGAATTCTCTGCATCTTGGCTCTAAAATGTGTCTCTGAACTGAGTAAGTTTTTTTTTTTTTTCTTAATTGACTTGACAGAAACAGAGACACACGGAGATATTTCATCTGCAGGTTCACGCACCAAATGCAACAATCAGGGCTGTGCCAGGCAAAAACCAGGAATCTAGAACGCAGTCCAGCCTCCCATGTGGATGGCAGAGATCCAAGTATTTGGGCCAACACCTGCTCCCTCCCAAGGTGCACATTAGCAGAAAAAACAGAATCGGGATTTGAGCCAGACACGGCTCAGGAACTCTGATATGGGATATGAATGTCCCAATCTGTGTGTTAATGATTGCACCGAAAATCTGTCCCCAACAGACACTATTAAACACCAGCATTTCCTCGAAATCCTGAGTGTAGAGAGATTTCTTTGAGTAGTTGCACTAGACCTGACTCTCCTGGGGTGGCTGAACAATCTATGATCAACTCTGCTGTTGGCCCCAAGTCTCACACTCTCCAGGGTTCTTGGGTTGCTCTGTTCCAGCTGTTTCCTGCCCAACCCTTGAATTCAAAAAAGCCAGAATCTAGTTCTCTAAAACCATAACAAATGAGCAACCACATAATCTCTGGTGCTCAATTTTCCCCATCTATGAATTGGTGATGATTTTGCCAGCTTTCTCTTTTGCACAACCCACAGTTAGGAAACACAGCTATGCCATGGCTGCCAAAATTTTGCTTTATTATGTAGTTTACAATTTACTTATACTTGTTCAAAAAATAAGAGTGACAGAGAGAGGTTGATGCTGTGGCGTAGCGAGTAAAGCTGCCACCTGCAGTGCCAGCACCTCATATGAGCACCAGTTTGAGTCTCGGCTGGTCCATGTCCAATCCAGAAAATGGCCCAAGTCCTTGGGTCCCTACACCCACGTGGGAGACCTGGAAGAAGCTCCTGGCTCCTGACTTCAGATTGGCCCAGCTTGGGCACTGTGGCTACTTGGGGACTGAACAAGCAGATGTAAGACCTTTCTCTCTCTCTCTCTCTCTCTCTCTCTCTCTGCATCTGCCTCTGCCTATCTGTAACTCTGCCTTTCAAATAAATAAATCTTAAGAGAGAGAGAGAGAGAGAGATCTTCCATCTGCTCAGTCTCTCTCCAAATACCAACAGCAACCTGGAGCTAGAAGACAGAAACTCCATCCTGGTCTCCCATGTGGGTGGCAGGGACCCAAGGACTTGGGCCATCTTCCCCTGCTTTCCCAGGCACCTTAGCAAGAAGCTGGATCAGAAGCAGAGCAGCTGGGACTTGAACTGGTGCACCCCTGCTCTGCTACAACACCAGTCCCAGCTCCCAAAGTGCCACCTCTTTTCCTATTCAGGAGACCTGCCATGACTGACACTGGACCTTCAGTCCCATTTAAAATTTTCTGAACAAGAAACTGGTGGCTCAGTTGTGATGGGGGCTGGGGCCTTTTGAACGAATCCAGGTGCCTGGGATTCCTTCTGTGTGACTCAGGTTATGGTGGGGGAGGTGACAGGTCTCAAAGAGGGATGCTGAGACTGGACATTCACTGCTCCCAGGTTCCCTTCTTCTTTGTTCATGATATATAACAGAATTCTTGACTATAACTAAATGGAAATCCAGCCCAAACTGGCCTCCTCAGGAATGGGCAATTTACTGGCTTGTATACCTAAAAGACTTCAGATGACACTTAGCCCAGGTCTCCTGTGGACCCAGCCTCTCTCAGCTTCTCACTTTTGCTCTTTTTGTTGACTTGTCATTCTCAGTTGAGTAACAGCTTCAGGACTTTATCCTTCAAGTTCAAGTTCACAGTCAGAAGTCAGCCTGCCTAGCCCCTTCCTCCCAAACAATCCATAGGGCTAATAGATTTAGGGCTCTGATTGTTCAGACCCAAATCATGTGTTTACCTTGGGATTGAGAAAGGAGAGGGGGTAGGTCTAAGTAGGAAACTTTAGTTACTCTTTACTTCTAAATCCTCTACCCCCAGAAACCCTTCAGAGATTATAGGACACATGGTATATGGGATTCTATCTCTTGACTGGAGGGAGCTGTCTTTGAGTTCTGCCCTGGGCCTGATGCTTCTGGGTGGCTGGCCAGGCTGTGATCACTCCTGCTGCCTGCTCCTGTTCTCACGGCCTCCAGGATTCTTAGACTACTCTGACCCAGCTGTTTCCAGCCCAATCTTTAAATTCAAAACAGCTGAATTCTAGTTCTATAAAAACATGGCTCATGATCTTTTATTTTTTATTTTATTTTATTTTTTGACAGACAGAGTTAGACAGTGAGAGAGAGAGGGAGAGACAGAGAGAAAGATCTTCTGTTGGTTCACTCCCCTAATGGCCGCCACGGCCGGTGCTGCACCCATCCAAACCAGGAACCAGGTGCCTCCTCCTGGTCTCCTATGCGGGTGCAGGGCCCAAGCACTTGGGTCATCCTCCACTGCCTTCCCGGGCCACAGCAGAGAGCTGGACTGGAAGAGGAGCAACCGGGACAGAATCCGGCGCCCCAACCGGGACTAGAACCTGGGGTACCGGTGCCACAGGAAGAGGATTAGCCTATTGAGCCGCGGTTCCGGCCTCATTGATCTCTGATATGGGCCTGGTGCTTTTTTTTGCTTCCCCAGGGTGTGCATTTACAACTTCTCAGGTTTTTGTTTGTTTGTTTGTTTGTTTTTTAAAGATTGATTGGTTTATTTGAAAAGCAAGGAAATGCAGAGGGAGAGACACAGGGACAGGGTCGGGGGTCAAAATGAGGAGAGATTCTTCCTTCTGCTGGTGGACTCCCCAAGTGTCCAGAATAGCCAGGTTTGGGCCAGCTGAAATCAGGAGCCAAACACTCCATCTGGGCCTCCCCTGTGAGTGGCAGGAGCGCTCAAGTACTTGAACCTTCATCCAGTATGTCCCAGATCCATTAGCAGGAAGTAGGATCAAAAGTGGAGGAGCCAGCACTCGAACCAGCACTCCAGCACGGGATGCAGGTGTCCCAAGTGGTAGCACCACGGCACTCAACCTCAACTTCTCAATCTCGATCACTTTCTTTCTTTCTTTTTTTTTTTTTTTTAAGATTTTATTTATCTGAGAGGTAGAGTTACAGACAGTGAGAGGGAGAGACAGAGAGAAAGGTCTTCCTTCCATTGGTTCACTCCCCAGATGGCTGCAATGGCTGGAGCTACGCCAGTCTGAAGCCAGGAGCCAGGTGCTTCTTCCTGGTCTCCCATGTGGATGCAGGGGCCCAAGGACTTGGGCCATCTTCTGCTGCTTTCCCAGGCCATAGCAGAGAGCTGGATCGGAAGTGGAGCAGCCGGGACTCAAACCAGCACCCATATGGGATGCCGGCACTTCAGGTGGCGGCTTTACCCTCTATGCCACAGCGCTGGCCCCTCATTTGCTCTTTTGATCTCAGTCTTTCTTGTAGCCTTAGTCAAATGTCCCATAAACTGTGATATAACAGAGCACAGTTAGACTAAACCTCTTGCTTGTTTTGCTAAGGGGAGAAAAAAAAACATAACAAAACAAAACAAAACAAAAAAAGGAAGTAGGTTTAAAAAGGAGAGATAAGAAGTGCTGTGTGGTCTCATTTGGACATGAGTTCTTGTTTGGCTGGACAGTGGCAGGATGGCCAGCTAGGGGCCCATGTAGTGGTACAGGCTTCAAATGCACCCACCAACAGTGAAGAAAGTCAGGATTTATCTGTTTGAAAGAGAGAGAGAGAGAGAGGCACTGTAGCTGCTGGTTCAATCCCCAAATGACTACAACGGTTGGAGCTAGGCCAATCCAAAGCCAGGAGCTTCTTCTGGGTCTCTCACATGGGTGCAAAGGCCCAAGGACTTGGATCATCTTCCACTGCTTTCCCAGGTGCATTAGCAGGGAGATGGATCAGAAGTGGAGCAGCTGGGACTTAACCGGTGCCCATATGGGATACAGGCACCACAGGCAGCTGTTTTACCCTTGATACCACAGTCCCAGCGCCCAGAAAGTCCGAATTGAACACAGGCACAATTATGGTGGAAAGAGGATGGGACAAAGGCTCAATATGCTAAGCCCAGGTGGGACACAGAAGATGTGAACAGTGAATCATGCACAACTCTTTCCCTCTGGGAATTCATGCCAGTGGAAGAGAGAAACAGGCAATTTTAATAAACTGTCACCAAACCTAGGGATAAATAAATGCAGGGGCCAGGGAAGCACTTAGCAGGAGCTGCAGGTCCTGAGAAGGAGGTGAGGGAAATTTTCCTACAGAAGATGGTGCACCTGTACAGCAAGGAAGACTTGGTGCAAACTCTTCAATAAGACAGCACCAGTCGTGCAGCAGCGGATGTTTGCCTGCAGTCATAGCCACCTCTGTGCTAGTCCCCATTCTCCAGTGGGCTCCCCATCCATGCTGTCCTTTCAAAACTTACCTAGCCTGCGTCCCATTCTCTCACCTAAGTATCCCCTTGAAAACATAAATCACACTAAGACGTGACTAACAGTGACTGCTGGAATGCAGGCTTTCCCGCATGGTCTAAGATACTTCCACCACCACATCGCCTCCTCTGACCACAGTCAAGGAAATGTCTCTGCTGCGAAGGGTTTCTGCAATTAGCTTGGGCTCACCTGAGTAATCCAGGCTAACCTTTCCTTCTCAAGGGCCTGGACCCTAATCACATCTGCCAAGGCCCTTTGGCCACATAAGGTGAAATACTCCCAGCTTCTGTGGTTTAGAAAACGGACATGTTTGGGGGCCGTTATTCTGCCTTACCACGGGGGTGCTAAAATATGTTGACGTTGGTGATCAGGAAGGACCCTCTCCACACATCTTTCAAAACAGATTTTAGAACATGCT